GCATGATAAAAGCAACAAGGGGCATCATCAATCCAATAGCTCCATTAGTAGTGCTAGTTGGTGGTTCAGTTGATGCTATAAAAATAATTATTAAAACAGCTAATATTAAAGACATTTTAAGTACCTTCAAATTGACACATTTGAAGACAGATTTGGGATCCAAAGAGCCCAATGGTTCTTGGCCCTCCGAATTCTGCCGGCAAGACAAAAGACTCCACTTCCCCTTCAGTTGCAAACCCAATGTAACGGCAAGCATCAAGATTAATATCTTCAGTCGCATTTGGACTTATAATTGGACGAGTGAAGTTAACTGTGAGAAAACGATCATTGAAGGAAGTTCCAACATTTGTGAGATCCTGATTAGCATCAAACTGTGGTCCACCAGAAACTGACACATTTGATATCCACCTATCGCAATAATGACAATTTTATTGCATAATTTTACCACTATTAAGTTACCTATCTTCAACAAAGTATATCATGCCATTATTTCCAGCAATGATGATGTCAATATTAGCCTATGTAAATATTGCAATATAGATTAAATCGTGCAAGTACTTACCAACATATCTGTAGTATCTATAGTAAATCCCACATTGTTATTAGAGAATGTCACAGCAGCATATTCACTCGTGTTTGCTGGAGCAACAAAAGTGAAGTTAACACTATTGTTACTTATGACTGTCCAGGAAACGCTTATTTCCTCAGTCTCATCTCTTAGCCTGCCAGCACATTGAGACAGAGAGAAAGCAAAAAGGCTATTCAAAATTGCAAACTTCAGTATGGCTATCTTCATTGCTGAAAGATGATTAAAATGATCGTGATGTTGATCTGAAGTGATTCATATAGGCACGTAATCTGTTCTTTTAATGCTTCAGGGAGTTTGCACATAAAATCCATTCAAAGTAACTGAAAGTTAGATTAGTGAAAATTAGATCAGAACTGTAACTTTTTAGGCTACTAATCATTGGTGAAATATCTTAATCAAAAAACCCACTTGTCTTAATTGTGTATAAGGCTATTATAATATCAATTCTAAAGTCTATTTATTATTTTAGTTAGGCACCATATGACATGCTTTAAGCATACACATGTATATTGTGTTCTAATATGTTCTTGTGTCAGTGTTGTGTGCTTTGTAAACTATACAAACTTGTGTACTGTACACTGCCATGCCCACTCACTACACCTTATTAGTGTTTTGCCAAACGACTTCTATGATTTCAGTTTGTGATCAACAACTCTTAGTATTCAATTGTTATTTGAGTGCATAATTTGCCAGATTAGTGGTGCCCTCTGTCTCAAAAGTGAAGTTTTATTACAGCTAATATATCGTGTAGGCATAGAATTAGTCTTTAGGGAAATTTTATCTGTGTTTTTATTACGAAATAGCAACCATGCCTACAACAGCTGCCTTTTTGCTCTAAAATTTGTTTTGTAGTAGTATTATTACACTGTTAATGTGTTGAGGTATGCATATTGATGTATATATTTGAGTTACATATGCAACTAACAGAGCTACCATAACAAGTGTTGGTAATATTGAGAAGCATATTATCACTAAGTCACACTCCCACTAAGTGTAGCATTACAAAACACATTTACTTGTTCTATATCTTCACATATAACAGTCGAACTGTAGTCAAAATTTTACAACACTAGCTGTCAAGAAATGAACTACCAAATTGTTGTCTTGGCTTTTATATTCAGCCTGCTCTCTTTGTCATTGGCTCAATGTACTGGAGCATTGACTAACTCTTCACATCAAGTTAGTGTCTCATGGATGGTTGTTGGTGAGAACAGTGTGAGTTTTACTTTCACTGCCCCAGCTAACAGCAGTACGTATACTAGTCTGGTTATATCTGATCATCCTATAATATTACCACTTCAATTTGTGAGTTGCTTTTTCCTGATGTGCATAGATTTAGTTTATCTTATGCATAGAATAACGTTGATGTTGTCTATGCTGGGGATAATGAAACTACTAACTTTGTTGAAGACAGGTAAACAACATTGTACATTGTAGTTTATAGTAAATTGTTTTGAAGTTCTGATTGAGTTGATTACTAATAATAAATATACATTTATGTAACAGTTTATGTACACAAATGGACATATGTTGTTTCGTGTCTTTAAAAAACAGAATTTTGTTTATTGTACTAAGTGTCATTTACTATTATGCACGTTTACATTGCGTGCAATGAACATAGTCAAGTACTGTAGTAATGTGTGTTTATAGTAAGTTTCCCCAACTGTTTTTATGCATCCTTATAGATGGATTGTAAACTTTATGTCACTCTATGACAAACAGCAAGACATTGAAGACACCAGTACTTTATTGACTGATGATGACCTTTTGATGGTCAACTTCACTCGTCCCATCATTAGTACTGATGAAGCTCAAGATACAAACCTAAATGCTTGCAAATACCTAATTTGGGCATATGGTGGTACTGTAGAGTCATTTAAATATCCGAAATTTACTTTTCAAAATCTTCCACAAGCTTTCGGAACTTTTAATGGTCAAATTTGTCTTCAATATTATGGAGGTATTTTATGCCAGTTTTATGCTATTTTTTATAATTTTTATTAGTAACACCATCTCCCAGTGCTTCTTTAATGAGTTCCAGTACACCTACTTCTTCACCATCATCTCAAACACCTTCAGCTGCTACCAACAATCATCCTGTCATCTTTATCATTCTGTCATCTTTATCATTCTTTTTGCTATAGTTTTGCTATCATGTACTCTTAATATTTGAGAGCATTGATAGTTTAAAAGGAAGTAAACTTACTATCATAGCTAGTTCAGTTACATACATAGTTTAGTTATAATACATCTATTTTATCAAGTGTTATTTTTTTTTGTCATAATTTCAATATAAGTTGTTAGTTGATGACAGTGTGTAATCCTATACATACACTGTGTACATTGTTGTGGGTGGGGGCATGAATATGACACTCAGAGATAGAGTTTATAAAGCAAAAGTGGGCGAATTATAGCTAGACAAGACATATTCAAAATGCAAGGACTACTAAAGCTCTTTCTTCTAGCTGGTCTCTTTACTATTTCCCTAGCTCAGTGCTCAGGAAACTTTACTAGCTCTACACAGCAAGTTACCCTAGATTGGACTGTCATTGATAGCAACACTGTCAACTTTATATACACTGCTCCTTCTACTAGCTCTCAATATACTGCTTTGGCTTTCTCTAACCAACTCATAACCTCTGCATTAAGTTTGGTGAGTTTTAGAATAAGTAATAGTTACATTATTTAGCAATAGGCTAATGTTGATGCTGTATATGCTGGAGATAATGGAGCAGTTTCTTTTGTGCAAGACAGGTAAAGTAATCAATGTATTATGTCTCATCTCTATAGTTTGAATACTAAACATATATTATGCCTATAGTCTATATGCCTTTTACATAATGGCAATAAGAATTTCATTAAAACACAGCTTATTCATATGCTATATAAATTATAGAGTCAGGTTGAATCTTTACATTAGGTGGATTGAAAGTGCATTGAGTAATCAGTTAGATGCAGAACAGAATCTTCAAAATACAAGTGCTTCATTAAGTGATGACTTCCTCACAGTTAATTTCACTCGTCCAATAATCAGTCCTGATAAGAATCAAGACCTTGATCTTAACACGTGTAAATATGTTATCTATTTATTCAATGGAACAGGAGCAGTCAGCTCAATTCCATCACTTGATAGTTTAGGATTTGGTATGTTCCCCATGCAGTTGTGTCTTCAATACTGTGAAGGTAAATTAATGTTGCTTATACAATCACTGTGTTGTTATTGTTATTATTGCAGATGTTCCTTCCCCCTCTACTACTACTCCTTCCTCAACTGGTGCTGTGACAATTAGTACAACATCTGTTCAAAGTTCCCCCTCATTTAGCAGTGGATCCAGTGGTGTGAGTGCTACTCCTACTGCTACTCCTACTAGTACTCCCAGTGGAGCTAGTGCAGGAATGATTGCTTCAATTTTGCTTATTATGATTGCTGTTGCCATTGTCCTTTATGTTTAATACAATGTAGACTGAACATTTGAATTGTGTTCAATCCTTGAACTTGTTTTGAGAACTGATAGTAATGTTTATGCAGTTGTTGTAGATATAAATTAATTATTCAATTTAGACTGGTGGGTGGGATTGTAGATTGTGGCATATATTGTGGGCAGAAGACGGATTCACAACCAAAATGCAAGGACTACTAAAGCTCTTTCTTCTAGCTGGTCTCTTTACTATTTCTCTAGCTCAGTGTTCAGGAAACTTTACTAATTCTGCACAGCAAGTTACTATTGATTGGACTGTCATTGATAGCAACACTGTCATCTTTATATACACTGCTCCTTCCACTAGCTCTCAATATACTGCTTTGGCTTTCTCTAACCAACTCATAACCTCTGCATTAAGTTTGGTGAGTTTTAGAATAAGTAACAGTTACATTATTTATCAATAGGCTAATGTTGATGCTGTATATGCTGGAAATAATGGAACTGTTTCTTTTGTACAAGACAGGTATAGCAATCAATGTATTATGCCTCATCTCTATAGTTTGAATACTAAACATATATTATGCCTATAGTCTATATGCCTTTTACATAATGGCAATAAGAATTTTATTAAAACACAGCTTATTCATATGCTATATAAATTATAGAGTCAGGTTGAATCTTTACATTAGGTGGATTCCAAGTGCATTGAGTAATCAGTTAGATGCAGAACAGAATCTTCAAGATACAAGTGCTTCATTAAGCAGTGGCTTCCTCACAGTTAATTTCACTCGTCCAATAATCAGTCCTGATAAGACTCAAGACCTTGATCTTAACACATGTAAATATGTTATTTATGTATTCAATGGAACAGGAGCAGTTGACTCAATTCCATCACTTGATAGTTTAGGATTTGGTATATTCTCCATGCAATTGTGTCTTCAATACTGCGAAGGTAAATTATTTTTGCTATGCAATCACTGTGTTGTTACTGTTATTATTGTAGATGTTCCTTCTCCCTCTACTACTATTCCTTCCTCAACTGGTACAATGTCAACAACTACAATTAGTACAACATCTGTTCAAAGTTTCTCCTCAATTAGTAGCTACATTAGTGTGAGTGCTACTCCTACTACTACTTCTACTAGTACTCCCAGTGGAGCTAGTGCAGGAATGATTGCTTCAATTTTGCTTATTATGATTGCTGTTGCCATTGTCCTTCATGTTTAATACAATGTAGACTGAACATTAAAATTGTTTTCAATCCTTGAGCTTGTTTTGAGAACTGATAGTAATGTTTATGCAGTTGTTGTAGATATAAATTAATTATTCAATTTAGACTGGTGGGTGGGATTGTAGATTGTGGCATATATTGTGGGCAGAAGACGGATTCACAACCAAAATGGAAGGACTACTAAAGCTCTTTCTTCTAGCTGGTCTCTTTACTATTTCTCTAGCTCAGTGCTCAGGGAGCTATAGTAATACTACACAGCAAGTTACCCTTGAGTGGACTGTGATTGATGACAACACTGTCAACTTTATATACACTGCTCCTTCCACTAGCACTCAATATACTGCTTTGGCTTTCTCTAACCAGCTCATAAGTCAAGCATCACTATCAGTAAGTTGTAAAAAGTTAGGAAGATTTAATAAAATTGTTTCATTCAGGGTACTGTTGCTCTTGATGCTGTATATGCTGGAAGTAATGGGACTTCTTCATTTGTACAAGACAGGTATAGTGATCAATCTCTGTGCATTTCACAATTGCATACATATTGTAAGATTATTTGTAGGCATGTCCAGCACTATTTATGTATGATGGTATAGCATGCTTGTTAGTGCAACATTTAATTTTTACACGCAGGTGGGTTACAAGTATATTCAATAATATGTTGGACACTGAACAAAATCTTGAAGATACAAGTGCTTCGTTAAGCAATGGCTTGCTTACAGTTAATTTCACTCGTCCAATAATCAGTCCTGATAACTATAATCAAGATCTTGATTTAAACGTGTGTCAGTATGTTATCTATGTATTCAATGGAGCAGTAATGGGCTCATTTTCATCACCTAGTGGGTTTAATATTCCTACTGGATTTGGTATACTTCCCATGCAGTTGTGTCTTCAAAATTGTTCAGGTAAATTGATGTTGCTTATACAATCACTGTGTTGTTATTGTTATTATTGCAGATGTTCCTTCCCCCTCTACTACTGTTCCTTCCTCAACTGGTGCTGTGACAGTTAGTACAACATTTGTTCAAAGTTCTCCCTCAATTAGTGGATCCAGTAGTGTGAGTGCTACTCTTACTCCTACTGCTACTCCTACTAGTACTCCCAGTGGAGCTAGTGCAGGAATGATTGCTTCAGTTTTGCTTATTATGATTGCTGTTGCCATTGTCCTTCATGTTTAATACAATGTAGACTGAACATTAAAATTGTTTTCAATCCTTGAGCTTGTTTTGAGAATTGATAGTAATGTTTATGTAGTTGTTGTAGATATAAATTAATTATTCAATTTAGACTGGTGGGTGGGATTGTAGATTGTAGTATAGATATATTTATTATTGTGGGCAGAAGACGGATTCACAACCAAAATGCAAGGACTACTAAAGCTCTTTCTTCTAGCTGGTCTCTTTACTATTTCTCTAGCTCAGTGTTCAGGAAACTTTACTAATGAGACACAGCAAGTTACCCTTGAGTGGACTGTGATTGATAGCAACACTGTCAACTTTATATACACTGCTCCTTCCACTAGCTCTCAATATACTGCTTTGGCTTTCTCTAACCAACTCGTAACCTCTGCATTTAGTTTGGTGAGTTTTAGAATAAGTAATAGTTACATTATTTATTAATAGGCTAATGTTGATACTGTATATGCTGGAGATAATGGAACAGTTTCTTTTGTACAAGACAGGTAAAGTAGATCATCAAGTAATTATCCTCCTAAATAACTTTATGGTTCGTTAGATCAGTTTTATGCTACATTGAGCAAATCTTTCATTACCTTCTTAATTTTAATTAATGTAAAATGTTTGGCATTAATGTTGATCTATTTGGCATTACCCAGAATTATATGACAAATTCCCATTTGTTTACTATTGTGGTTATTCACTTGAAGCACAGTGGTTTGACTTGATTAGATCAATCACTAATATAGCTTAAACTAGTCCATAATGATAGCAATGAACCAGATTAGATGTAGCTAGTTGAAATTTTTCCTATTAATCCTGTAGATGGTTTCCAAATGCATTCAATAATATGTTAGATACTGAACAAAATCTTCAAAATACAAGTGCTACATTAAGCGGCGGCTTCCTCACAGTTAATTTCACTCGTCCAATAATCAGTCCTGATAAGAATCAAGACCTTGATCTTAACACGTGTAAATATGTTATCTATGTATTCAATGGAGTGGTAACAGCCGGCTCATTTTCATCACCTACTGCATTTGGTATTCCTGCTGGATTTGGCTTATTCCCCATGCAGTTGTGCCTTCAAAACTGTCAAGGTATACTATCAATAATTCCATATAAAGCTATCACTTACAAATTACACTGTAGAGCCTCCCATCAGTTACTACTACTATTATGCCAACTCCTATTGATCCTGCACCCTCCAGTGAGATCAGCAGCCCACCCTCAACTACTAATGGTATTTCTACTAATCCTTTGCCCTCTGTTGAGAGCTCAACCACAGCTACTGTCTCAAGTCCTACTCCCACTACTACAGTTAATGATGCTAGCAAGAAATTTGCATCTGTCTTGTTAGTCATGTTTGCTCTCATGTTTGCCATTCATGCTATGTAGAATGTTGAACAGTAGTTTACTTATTAAAAGTTGTTTTGAGCTTGAGTTTGTTATGCTATTAGTTTGTTACTAAATATTTTACTGATGTTATGTGATGTACTTAAAGTAAACTCTCACTGACATACCTATTGATTTTTTGGAAAAAATTCTCAGATGATTGTAATTCATATCACATTAGTCACCAATAATAATAACAATGATAATAATAATAATAAACATGAAACATAAGTAAAGCTATCATAGAACATATACACACATAAAATGAAACAATCAACATTACATCAGCATGAACTGCATCCATTCTCATTGTTTCTAAATGGTATCCTAGGACCAGCCCCAGGCATTCTTGGTCTCTTAAAAACTTTACGGAAACTTTGCTCCAAGTCCTGCCGACTAAAAGTTCTCCGTCTCTGATTGTCCTGAGGAGGGAAGGGACCACGGGGGAACTCATCAATGACCACCCAGTCCTGATCTAGTCTAATATTCCCTCCTCTCTGCTGTTCAACCATACTGCGAGTAAGCGAATTCTCTTGTCTACTGGATAACATTTGAAACGAAAGTCTCTCGAAAACAGAGTCCAGAGTTCCCAAGGCGGTATCTGTCACTGTCGAGATTTCGGCAAAAATCATTCCATTTTCTTCTGCATAGCGTCTCCCCTCATCTGTGGGAACTTGCCGCTCCTCCTCTAAGTCGCATTTATTGGCAAGGAGAGCCAATTTGACATGCTCGCTATTACGGCAGTACTGCCTTAACTCACCCAGCCACTCTCGTACATCTACAAAGGACTCTCTTCTTGTTACATCGTACACAAATACAACTCCATTGACGTTTCTGTAATATTGGGTGATGAGGCCACGCCTGAACTGCTCCATGCCTGCTGTGTCCCATATTTGGAGCTAAAGGAAGAGGAGAAAGACAAATAAGGAAGGAGGAAAAAACAAGGAAAAAGAATTTTAAAATATTAAAAAAAATTATCTGGGAGTTACATGCTTACTGTGCTTGGTACCCCATCAATAATGACATCTTTATTCTGACAGTCGAATGCAATGGTGGACTGAGTAGACCTTTGTTGCTTTCGAGAGATGTAGAGTTTAGCAACACATGTTTTACCTACTGATGGATCACCTAGAAACACCACCTAAAGAAAGAGGCAGATTAAAATATTCCTTTTCTGAAAAATCCCTGTACTATAGCCTATGTTTTTTTTTCAAAAAATGGCTCCGAAATGACCCCCAATTTTTATTACATTTTCTGATACATATTGATGTACTTATGCTATGTAGCAAGTTTGAGCCAATTCCAACTTCAATTTTTCGAGTTATGGCCATTTAAAAAAATGGGCCAAAATCTGAAAAAATCCCTGTACTATAGCCCATGGTTTTTTTGAAAAAATGGCTTCAAAATGACTCCCAATTTTTATTACATTTTCTGATACATATTGATGTCCTTATGCTATGTAGAAAGTTTTGAGCTGATTCCGACTTCAATTTTTCGAGTTATGGCCATTTTTAAAAATGGGCCAAAATCTGAAAAAATCCCTGTACTATAGCCCATGGTTTTTTCCGAAAAATGGCTCCAAAATGACCACCAATTTTTATTACATTTTTTGATACATATTGATGTCCTTGTGCTGTGTAGAAAGTTTGAGGCAATTCCAACTTCAATTTTTAAAGTTACTGTTACAGCCATAATAAATTAAATCATTAATACTATCAAGAGTAAATATATCGTCTTCAATAAAATGGCCCCTAAAACAACCCTTACCTTAAAAGTGAAGTTCGTTGTAGCACTCATATTATGATATCTTGCAAATACTCCTTTCCCAGCAGTACACTGCATGCTTGGACGCTCTTTGTCTTCATTAAAAATTGTAGGAGACTCTTTATCTGTTTCATGTTCTATCCATTCTCCTCCTCCTACTCCCCCTTCTGCTTCTTCTTCGGTGTCTTTCAATGAGCTATATGTCACTGCTACCTCCTCTCCATTCCCTTGTTTCTCTCTTTCCTCCACCCCATCCGTTTCTTCTTCCTCTTTCTCTTCAAATAAAAGTCTAGGTCTCTCTTTAGCCATTATTGCAATTTTTAGCCACACCTTTATTAAAACTGAGCCACACCCACCACTAAACTCTGGCGCGCCAAACCGCGGGAAATTTGTGGGCGTGGTTTGAACATGGTGAAAATTGCTTTTGGCTTAATTTTTGGTAGATTTTTTTCATCTTTTTCTTCTCCAAAATGGCTGTCAGTCAGTGAAGCTTTGACCTCCAGTGAGGCAATAAATAAGAATATCAAAGTCCAAGTAAATTATTTAATAATAATAATATCATTATAAAATTATTTTTGATATTGAAATTTAAAACTTTTATATGCTTTATTTTAAATGTTTCTCTCTTTTCAGGGCTGGTTGCAATCTGCTAGAATTCAAAAGAGTTTATTATTTCTTGATGTTAATGATGGATCGTCTCTCAAGTCCTTGCAAGCTGTGATGCCAATCGAATCGTAAGCTATTGATTTTTAATAATTCCTGATTGTCCCCAAGCATTAAAAATTAATAATTAAACAAATATTTGTAAATTAAATTATTTGAATTAGTAATACTCTATTTTTTCTCTTTCTTTCTCCTCAATTTTCTTCCAGTGAGTCTCCTGAGGTCAGTCTAGGTGCTTCAGTTCAATTGGAAGGATTATTAGTGACGTCATCTCACCCAAAGCAACCAGTCGAACTTGCTGTATCTTCTATAAATGTACTTGGATCATGTGATAATCTTGTGAGCCGTTTAAAATGAAACAAAATGCAATAATAATTTTTATTATTTATAGTTGTATCCATTTAAAGCTCGTATCAATCATCCAGCTGATTATATTAGACAGTTCCCTCACTTAAGAGCGCGTACAAAAAAGTTTTCGTCAGTTCTTAGGATTCGTAATGCAGCGAGCATTGCTGTACATGAATACTTTCAGGTTCTAAAAAAATATGTGTAGTCTAAAATTTACTTTTTAAAATGCATGTAGCGTAAAAATTTTTTGCAAGTTCATACTCCACTCTTGTCGTCCAGCGATTGTGAGGGAGCTGGTGACCTTTTTATAGTTAAAGTAAACTATCTTTATAATTTCATGTTAGCAGAAAGGAGTTTATGGAGTATGACCTTTAATTTTATTGTAGCCCGAAGGAACAAAAGATGCATCAGATTTTTTTGGTGTGCCAGTCTACTTGACAGTTTCTGGACAGCTGCACGCTGAAACATTAGCGTGGTGAGTACATGCGGAATTATGATGAATACATTAAACTTTATTGGCCAGTGGTTTGTCAAATGTTTATACATTTGGGCCGACTTTTCGTGCCGAGAAATCTCACACGTCGCGTCACCTATCAGAGTTTTATATGATAGAGGCAGAGTTAGTTACAGGGACTCATTCACCTGGAGAGTCACTGGACATCATCATGCAAGTAAGTTCATTAATAATTTTTACATTTGAAGCTAGAATTTAACCTCATGAAAATAGCTAGATTATAAATATTGTATAATTATACTGAATCAGTTAAGCAAAAATCATTGCATTTTTATTGATTCATAATGCTATGTAGAAGGTTGCTGATCACTTTTTTAGTTATAATCATTTCTAACTTGTAGTGTTCAGAAGATTTGTGCAAGTCAATTATTGAAAAAGTCCTAACTGAAAAAGAAGAGGATTTGAGCTTTCTTCATTCTAGTAATAAGCAAACTGATCTTAAGGTAAGAAAAAAAATTGTGCATTTTGTACTTTTATCCAGTTTACAGGAACAGCTGGAAAACATGATCAAAAAGGAATTCAAAAGGTATGATTATTACTTTCTTTAATAAGTAATTTTGTATGCTATAGACTGACATACAAAGAAGCAGTAGAATTGCTTGATTCTGCAAAAGAAAACTTCTCCTTTAGACCAAAAGTAAGTCGAAAAAAAAAAGAAAAAAAGGACCAGGCTCCCATACCAGGAATGGGGTTCGAACCCATGTGTGCATACGCACATTGGAACTTAAGTCCAACGCCTTAACCACTCGGCCACCCTGGTATTCCTGAGTGGCTCGGCGAGTCATTCTCTACCAATGCTCGTCCCTTTCTTTCTTCGTTATAGTTTGGAGAAAACTTAGGAACAGAGCACGAAAAGTACATTGTGCAAGAATTTGGAAACACTCCGGTCTTTATAACTGAATTCCCTGCCTCCATTAAACCATTTTATACCAGAAATGATACAGATACAAACACAGTGAGCAGAATAACAGCTAAAAAGCACAATCCATTTGTCACATATAATTTCTCCAACTTCAAAATCACACAAGTAGGCATACGCTATGGACCTATTGATGCCAAATATAGGAGAAGTAGTTGGAGGATCTGTAAGAGAAGAGAGATTCGACATTTTAGAAAACACTCTCAAAAAGTATATACTTGTTAGACTAAAATAACTAAAACTCTCTCCTTTCTCTTAGTTTAGGAATGGATGAAAAGTATCAATGGTAAGAATTAATACATGGACAATATTTATATTTCTACGTGTGACATTAATGCTGTAGGTATCTTGATTTAAGACGTTTTGGTACGGTCCCTCATGGCGGCTTTGGACTAGGTTTTGAGAGATTATTACAAGTTATAGTGGGAGCTGAACACATCCGTGATGTAATACCCTACCCTCGCTTTGTAGGCTATTGCCCAATGTAGAAATTCACTGATATTAATGATAATAATAATAATAAAATCGTGTACGAGAATGTATAATAAAATAATAGTATTATTATTATAATAGGCACTAATTGTTGCACTTTATAGTTAAATCCATGATGTCCTCCATTAATGGTAGTAGATGATTAGCCTTCATTGTTTCACTAAATCATTTCCGCTGTGTTTCCAGCTGTGTCACCACCTCGTCCCATTCCACGCACTGAGCTGACAGCTGCAAGATAAGTTTAGTGTACTGGTCTATAAAGAGATGTACACGTGACGTCAAGCTAACAACCTCATCCTCTTGCTGTACGTGGGTAGCAGCAAGTTGAGAGAGGTCTTTCTCGACGGCTTCAGTTCCTTGGTATGAGGTAGTGTTCACGGTTTCTTTTAAAAGCTGAAGGTCGTCAATGTCGTTTTGGTATTTTTGTAGCTGCTCAACGTAATAAAGGAGTAGCTCTTTTTTTGCTGGGGCGTTAAGGTTGAGAGATCTCAGGTAGGCTGGGTCGAGGATTCTCTCCAAGTCTGGTATCGTGTCCCATACTTGTTGTACACAGTTGCCTTTCATTGATTGTACCAGTGCTTTTAGCTTCCCGTCTATCGTTTTTAGGAGATGTACGAGCTGTGGCTGGCCCTCCCGTACCTTTTCCTGCCCTATGAGTCTCTCTTCTAGTAGATCTAGTCTCCTCTGGAGAGAAGAAATGTATTCTTCTGCGATTGTTTCTTTGTCACGATCCGCCATATTTTATTGACCACGCCTATAATGGGGTTAGCCACACCCATCCAAATTTTAATGACCACACCCACTAATCAATTCAGCATTTCTCAATGTTTGCTTCAGCTCTTGGGATACTTTGTGCTCTCTTTTTCCTACAATTAAAAGGTGCAGATGGAATTTCAGCAAGAGATGATGTAATAGACAAGTTACTTGATAAAATTGCAAAGTCGCAGGTAAAGCCATTTAACAATAAAAGCACAATTTGCATGAATTTGCTCAAGCCCTGCTGTGTATAAATTAACCTATTATTATATTTAGATTAAGGAAACCGTACCTTTTGTTTTCCCGGTCACACTGTACAAGCAGAAAGGTGTTTATCCATCTTACGTCCATTTCGACTACTCTGGAACAGCAGGGGATACAGTTTTACGCAGGGAGTTTAAAATATTTGACAACAACGCATTTGTTACATTATGGGTCAGTTCAATATTACTAGAGACAGTGAGATTCAATAAAGCTGCTCAACCATCAGATGAACAACTGCTCAGTGCTATACAAGCAGTTTCTACGTATCATGACAAAAACTTTCTTAATCAGAATGATACCAGGCTTGTATTTTGGCCACAGACGTACAACGAAACAGCAAGGATATGGTCTTCGTCTCCTGTCAATTTAGACAAAGCGGTCGAATTGGGGGATGATTTCTTGATTTTGGCTGGTAATGTTTTGAAAGACTTGGATCTAAAGAAGTATTATCAGGACATTATGAACCAAATTGAGACAATGTAAGTTTGGTTTGGGCTTTAATACATGCATTACTGTTTTGTAATATTTAGAGATTCATATGCTAATGCATTTCATATACCTGCTGATTTTGATGATACGTTTGTCAATATTGGTTTTGGTTCTCTTCTAAAGAGCTATCGATCTATATCTCAGCAATCTTACCTCTCATGGTTGAGTAACAACAGTAACAGTGTTCAGTCTGCAGTAAAAGCATTGAAGGAGTATTCTTATAAACCATTCAATAGCAGCTCTGGAAACAGTTATATTGACCCAAGGACTTACTTTTATGCACGAAAATTTATTCAGCAATTTTATGGAATGGAACAACTTTCTTTAGTGACCACTTGGGTTGAAAGTCTTAATGAGTCTCGGGCTAACTATTACAAGAAATATGCTATGCCTTTTGGTATTAACAATGTTGATCTGACTGTATCTGTTAATGTATTGTATGGACTAACTGCAGCAATACTGTCTGATATGCAAGATCCTAATAGCTGGTTTGACGAGGAGGTTCAGATGATTTATCTCAACACAACTTCTCTTGTAATGTATGAAATATCAAACAACTTCTCATCAAGGCCTGACTTAGCACTGACCTACTATCCATCAGTCTTTAACTTCTACTGGTTTACATCTCGTATACTGAACCTGCTAAACTCGTATGACCAATTACCATATCCTGTTATGCAGACTGTAAGAGAGAGAATGCGTTTTACAATGTATGGAGTGGGTACTGAATTTATTTTAAAACAAGCAACTAGGCAAGACCAGTATATTTACTTTGATGACTTTTTAGGTGTAAATGACACTAATGAATTTGGTAAGTACCAATTCATAGTATTTTCTTTAATTATTTTAATTACAGGTAAGCCAGTTAATCATGGAGATGATCGCATTAGCTCAACATCAATGGCCATTAATGCATTGTTTTATATTTGGAGTAATGCCAGCAGTGGACAGCTTAGTCCTAATGTTCCTGATAATGTACAGGATACATTAGTAAGAGCTTGTAACTGGCTGACTGATGAAGCACTTAGTGACAAGCTAGAGCACATGAATGCAGTTTTTTCTGGGTCTGTAAAAGTTATTCTTGAAGTAAGTTCTTACAACGTAAAATTTTTTGAAGCATAACTAATCATTTTATAGGATATTCCATTGTTCTTTCCATTAAACTATGTTCAGAGAGTGAATGGCTCAGCGGTGACAGGCAATATTACTGACTTTATCATGGATATTATAAGTGCCGTGACTGGTCTTATCCCTGAGGATAAGTATCAAGAGCTTCTCAATGAACCTCATTTTGGTTTCAAGATGTCTTATGATTTTCAGGGCTACAATTCCAAACTAGGACAGTTTTTTCCTTTTTGGTCTTCTGATACTTTTACACATGCTGCATCTGCTTTAGCACTATCTCAGTGCAAAATTAACAATATTTAGTTTGATATGTTATTTTAAAAAGTGTGATTCCTTCAAATTTTAAGTTATGAATTTAATTTGACATCACTATCATAATCATTTTGTGTCACTGTTGTCACACCTACCTTTACTTAATTACTTTGCAACATGCTTTCCAAGTTGGTTGTTCTTTTATTTGTTCTCCTCTTCTTTCTTGAACAAGCTAAATATGCTGAAGGGGCCTCTGAGAGAGATGACGTGATCAAGGGATTACTAGACAAAGTTGCTAAATCACAAGTAAAGGACATAATTGACTGTTGTATAGATCTACTATTGTGTTCTTTTAGATCAAAGAAACTGTACCTTATGACTTTCCATTTAATTTTTACAAGCAAAAAGGTGTCTTCCCTTCTAACATCCGTCTTAACTTTGTAGGATCTCCAGAAGATACCCTTATACGCAGGGAGTTTAAGATATTTGACAACAACGCATTTGTTACATTATGGGTCAGTTCAATATTACTAGAGACAGTGAGATTCAATAAAGCTGCTCAACCATCAGATGAACAAATGCTCAATGCTATACAAGCAGTTTATACGTATCATGACAAAAACTTTCTCGATCACAATGAAACCAGACTTGTATTTTGGCCACAGACATACAATGAAACAGCAGGAACGTGGTCCTGTGCTCCGCTAAATTTAGACAAGACTGTAGCAATGGGGGAGGAGTTTTTTGTTTTGGCAGAAAAGATGTTTAAGGATTTGGATCTGAAAAAATTTGCAAGTAAAATAGCAGAATTTATTCAAAGCATGTAAGCAGTAGCATATTCTAGCATGGTATAAATTCTATTGTACTTTCTCATTTAGAGTAGATAGTGTTGCTGCTTTTTACATACCTGCTGATTTTGATGACACTTTTGTCAATATTGGTTTGGGTTCCCTCTTGAAAAACTATCAGTCTGTTTCTCGGCAACCTTACCTCTCATGGTTGAGTAACAACACTAACAATGTTCAGTCTGCAGTAAAAGCATTGAAGGAGTATTCTTATAAACCATTCAGTAGCAGCTCTGGAAATAGTTATATTGACCCAAGGACTTACTTTTATCTTAGAAAGTTTCTTCAAAAATCACATGGAACCGGACAGCTTTTTTTAGTGACCACTTGGGTTGAAAGTCTTAATGAGTCTCGGGCTAAATATTACAAGAAATATCGAATGCCATTTAACATTAATAATGTTGATCTGACTGTATCTGCTAATGTATTGTATGGACTAACTGCAGCAGTACTGTCTGATATGCAAGATCCTAATAGCTGGTTTGATGAGGAGGTTCAGATGATTTATCTCAACACAACTTCTCTTGTAATGTATGAAATATCAAACAACTTCTCATCAAGGCCTGACTTAGCACTGACCTACTATCCATCAGTCTTTAACTTCTACTGGTTTACATCTCGTATACTAAACCTGCTAAACTTGTGTGACCAGTTACCATATCCTGTTATGCAGACTGTAAGAGAGATTATGCGTTCAATAATGTATGGAGTAGGCACTGAATTTATTTTAAAACAAGCAACTATGCAAGATAATTACATATTTTTTGATGATTTTTTAGGTGTAAATGACACTGATGAATTTGGTAAGTAGAGCTACCAATTCATATTATTATTTTTTTTTAATTATTTTAATTACAGGTAAGCCAGTTAATCATGGAGATGATCGCATTAGCTCAACATCAATGGCCATTAATGCATTGTTTTATATTTGGAGTAATGCCAGCAGTGGACAGCTTAGTCCTAATGTTCCTGATAATGTACAGGATACATTAGTAAGAGCTTGTGACTGGCTGACTGATGAAGCACTTAGTGACAAGCTAGAACACATGAGTGTGTTTTTCTCTGGGTCTGTCAAGACTGGTGATGTAAGTGTATTAGTGTTGCTGCTATGCATTGCACACATGTTAAAAGTTTATAGTAACCATCTCTTGTTTTACCTTGTTGTTGCATGTAATTGAATTTTTACAGGATTTGCCTCCATTGTTTCCAGCCAACTTCATTCAGAGAGTCAATGGCTCAGCAATATTACACAAAAATTCAACAAATTTTGATGATGTTATAACTGCTGTGACTGGTCTTATCCCTGAAGATAAATATCAAGAGCTTCTTAATGAACCTTTTTTTGGCTACAAGATATCTTATGACTTTCACGGCTACAATTCTGAAGGAGATTATTTTCCTTTTTGGTCTTCTGATACTTTTACATATGCTGCATGCATCTGCTTTAGCACTGTCTCAGTGTAAAGTTAACAATATTTAAACAAGACACTGACTGAGTTCATCTACTTGCTATTTTGACATTGTTTGTTAATATTACACATGAAACTGATGAAAGATTTGTGATATGTGTGGAATGTAGGAAACATGCCTAGTTATGAATATTTTATTAATTTGATCATCACTTTAATGTATCTACAAAGCTGTGTAACCAGTTGACCAAAACTGTTCAGTCTACAGCAGCTAAATCTCTAGCTCTGACCATGAAGGTTTTTTCTGTAACCCTGTTGTTAGCCATTGTCTTCCTTTCCCTACAAGAGCAAGTTTTATCTCAAAATGCCTCAGAAGTGACTGTTAAAGAACTTTTAAAGAAAGTAGCTGACTCTCAAGTAAGACATATTCCTTACATCATGGTTAATATTATGCTTCAAATATTAGATAGAAAAAGGTACTTCATTTCATTTCCCATACTCTCTATACAAAAGATAAGGAATCTATCCTTCATTCATTCACTTGGCCTTCTTTGGGCACTATGATGAAACACTACTTCGAAGAGAATTTAAAGTCTTTGACAATAATGCGTTTGTTACACTCTGGGTCAGCTCTATACTACTAGAAATAGCTAGATTTAGTGAAGGCAAGCATCCATCAGACATTAACCAACTCTTGAATGCTATAGAAGCAATATCCATGTATCATGACAAGAATTATGGTCATGACACATCTCTGTTGGTGTTTTGGCCACAGGAATATAATGAGGCAACTGGTGTGTGGCTCTGTCGTCCTGTTAACATAGGAAAAACCATGGATTTTGGCAATAAAGCTGAACCAGTTGTGAAAAGGATGTTTACTGATATAGGATTACAGGGACTATGGAATGAAATAAGTCCCCTCGTTAATGAAATGTAAGCTATAAATTGTAATATAATTATAGCCATACCATACCATCAGCAGACCATGCATAATCTAATTCAAATTCTTTCATCTTTTAGACTTACTGCAAGCAGTGCTTTCTATATACCGGCTGACTTTGATGACACATTCGTCAATATTGGTTTTGGTTCTCTACTGAAAAACTATCAGTCTGTATCTCGGGAGCCTTACCTCTCGTGGTTGAGTAGTAACTCGAATTTAGAATCTGCCATTGCAGCTCTGAAGAAATATTCATACAAGCCATTTAGCAGCGAGTTTGACAGCAAAGCAATAGATCCAAGGACATACTTTTACATGAGACACTTTCTTGAGGAAGCAAAATCAAAAGGAGAATTGTCTTTAGTTACTACTTGGGTTCAAAGCCTTAGTGAGTCTAGGGATAATTTCTATAATCATTATACAATGCCTTTCAACGTTAATAATGTTGATCTGACTGTATCTGCTAATGTATTGTATGGACTAACTGCAGCAGTACTGTCTGATATGCAAGATCCTAATAGCTGGTTTGATGAGGAGGTTCAAATGATTTATCTCAACACAACTTCTCTTGTAATGTATGAAATATCAAACAACTTCTCATCAAGGCCTGACTTAGCACTGACCTACTATCCATCAGTCTTTAACTTCTACTGGTTTACATCTCGTATACTAAACCTGCTAAACTCTTATGACCAATTACCATATCCTGTTATGCAGACTGTCAAAATGAGAATGAGTTCTACTTTGCGAGGAGAAGGAACAAATGACATTCTTCGACGTGCTACAAGACATAATGACTTTATTTACTTTGATGACTTTTTAGGTGATAACGATAAAAACTTGTATGGTAAGTCATTCAGTGCATGCACCATATGTACTTGTACTTTTTCATTCCTTTTCAGGTGAACGTGTTAATCGTGGAGACGACCGTATTTCTTCAACAGCTATGGCTGTCAATGCTTTGTTTTATATCTGGGCTAATGCCAGTGGTGTGTTGCTCACTGACACTCCTGAGCCAGTAACATATACATTAATAATGGCTTGTCATTGGCTAAGTGATAATGCACTGAGTGATAGACTGGAGCATATTAACGCCTTCTTCTCTGGATCAGTAAAATTAGGCTCTGTTGTAAGTATTTGCATAAAGAATTATAAATTTTAAATTTATTTGACATTTTATAGGACATACCCTTCTTTTATCCCTTGAACTATATTGAAAGAGTTAATGGCTCATTGATTTCATCAGACCATCATTTCCTAGGCTCTGATAGTGATGTTATAAGTGCTGTAATTGGTACCATACAAGAAGATAGATACAAGGAGCTCTTGGAGCACAAACATTATGGTTATAAGACCCCGACTGAGTTTCACGGCTTTAACTCCAAACATGTTCCATTTCCATTCTGGTCTTCCACCATCTTGACAGATGCTTCATCTGCACTGGCTTTGACACAATGTACTCTTAATAACATGTAGACCTGTAGTTTCATAACCTTTCTCTACTAATCCTTTCTCTCTACCCTTTTAAGCCGTCTTTTTTGGTTAAAAATTTATTGCTAATATATGTGAAAAATAGGAGTATTATAAATATGAAAGCTTCATTATAGTTCACACGGGTCAGTTATTTCATTTGCTCTTGAGCAAGTCTCAGGAACACGGAAAAGTTTCCCATTATTGCAGACACATAGTTGGTAATTACTGCTAGTACCAGCACTGTTACCATTAGATACGGGAATACTGGGAAAATGTATGCCATTTCTTGCATCTAGAGTAACATAATCCTGTCAAAAAATAATGACTTGTTACAAGGGAATGTTGAACATACTGTTGCATAAGCTCTGATACTATCCTGTGTACTCTTAATGGCTATATTTTTCTCAGAGTTTGCTTGGAGTGAATCTGCAGATAGTGTTGTCCTTATCCCACTTATACTTTCAGTCATAATCTGAAAGTTACAATAAACAACTAATTATGACAAAAAAATCAATCCCTTACAGATTTTGCTGCAATCCTACTTGCATCAAGACTAAGCATGGAGAGTGAGCTTTGGAAGACACTTTTGGTCTCGTTGATAGAAATCAACAGCTGATTTGTTTTGTCATAAATTTCAAAAGATTCATACGGTCTGAATCTCGCCAAGTCACGATCTAAAAATATTTGTGATGAATTTAATATAGTTGAAGACCCTTGCTCTATGCGTAAAGGCCCTGATGACAGTATTACCTAAAGAATGAAATGTTAATAATGTTTGGTACTATTGTACTATTATACTTACAAGTGATGATGATGTTATTGAAGTTGATGCATTGTCATAGCTGGATACTCCATTCATTAGCTGCACTAGTGAACTCCTCAATGACAGTGGAAATATTACTCTATTATTGGAGCCTAACACCATATATGGCAGTCCATTATGCCTAATATCCAATACTGACAGCAATAAGCAATTGAGCTACATAATATACAATAATGAGTTTGCCCTTATAATTAAGGATTACCACTAAATTTCCAACAGCTATGAGTAAGAGTAGTGATGCACCACAGCAGAACAGCCACCTTTTCCTACCTCTCAGCCCTGTTCTTAGTAAGTGATACTCATCTATCTTAACGTAGCCAGAAGCAAAGTTCCTAGCATGTCTTTTTCCAGCTCTTTTTTTCTCCTGAGACTTTTCCCACATTGGTTTCTATTGAATGGTATTAAATAGTGCACAGTTGGAGGCATAAAACACTCTTCTTCTTACCCATGTTTGCATCTTTTTTTGTTTTGCTTTTGCAGCAAGCAGCTACGCCCACTTTAAGATACCGTAATTGGTGATACTTGTATCCCAATTATCCGGATGCACTATGAAATATTGTAATAGAAAATGATCATGCTTCAACTGTTTCTGTTATTGTTTTCTTTTAACCTTCAAATTTGTTTAGGAGATAATGAAAAAACCGAAGGAAAAATGGACACTAACTACATGAATCAGCAAGCCTGTATCCTAAGCTCTAGCTCAATATAAAAATGTAATATTGCATAGATGTTATTGTTCCTTAAAATCTCTTTAAAGACAAAAGCTTGTTTGCTGCTAAAAGGCGAGAGCATATAGAGACAGCTGAGAAAATACTCCATCTAAATGACTATGCCAAGCAATACAAGATGGTGGAGATACTGGGAGAAACCATATTCCCTGTAAGCATTATTGTGCATGTATTAAATCTATCATTTATCAGGCAATGAAGGATTCCAAAGAAAAGCTTGAGAAAGCTAACTATATTCCTCAATCTTCACCTTTTCCTACTGATAAAAACATGCAAGAAGGTAATAAATGCAATTTTGTATCATTTGGATTGAAGGGTATAATATCAAAAAATTAATAAAACTTGGAGGTGATTTCGGAGCCATTTTTCATGGGCTATATGCTTTTCTATAGGGGAACTTTTCAAAAAAAGCATATTTTTAAAATGGCCATAACTTTAAAAATTCAAGTCGAAATTCATTCAAACTTTCCACATAGCATAAGTACATCAATATGTATGAGAAAATGTAATAAAAATTGGGGGGGATTGCGGAGCCATTTTTTGGAAAAAACCATGGGCTATAGTACAGGGATTTTTTTCAAAAATTGGCCCATTTCTTAAAATGGCCATAACTTGAAAAATTGAAGTCGGAATTGGCTCAAACTTTCTACATAGCATAAGTACATTAATATGTATGAGAAAATGTAATAAAAATTGGGGGGGATTGCGGAGCCATTTTTCGGAAAAAACCATGGGCTATAGTACAGGGATTTTTTCAAAAATTGGCCCATTTCTTAAAATGGCCATAACTTGAAAAATTGAAGTCAGAATTGGCTCAAACTTTCTACATAGCATAAGTAGATCAATATGTATCAGAAAATGCAATAAAAATTGGGAGTAATTTTGGAGCCATTTTTTGAACTTCTTGACAAATACACATGCATTTAGCTAAAACCAATTGCATGTTATGAATCCTTTCTTTTTGTTTAGCTCTTGGTGTTGTGCTGGAAAGCATTCCATTTTTTGGTGACGTTTTATTAAGACTGCCAGACATAACTAAAGATGTAAGCAATTATTATTTCTATAATCATCTCAAAAACTAATTCCTATCAATTCCTGTAGGTTTACAAAAGACACAAGAAAGACTGGGTCCCATTATTTAAATGGGGAATGGAGTTTTGTCAGAATTCGACGTTTCTTTTCACAGGCCATCATTCAACTCAGCTATATCTGGTACAAAAATTAGCCACACTTTAGCCTATATGTACTTTATTTATTCCCATTGCTTTTTAACAGATGTCACAGGAGATTGGGCTCATTCCTGAAGATCCAGAGTACGAAAATCCCTTCCGAAAGTCATCTGAAGATCCTGACATTAAAGTAAGGCATAAAGTTGATGTAAGATATTATTTTAATTGTTGGACTTTCGTGAAGATAAAGCTCAAGACTAAGAGCAAGAAATTTAAAAAGGGACCAAAGTTAAGAACAAGGAATGAGCTATGAGTATTGTATTTTTATAATGAAGTGTAAATGAAACTTAATTTGCTGGTTGCTCCCTGCCAGAGCTGATGATACATTTTGATCCAAAGGATCAAACATATCCGCTACATGTATTACTATACTGAAGTTGAGAATTACATGATTTCCTTGATTATTTAACTTGTTTTTTGTTTGCCTGATTACTAGTCTTGGATTTGCTTTAATTTTTTGTGATGACGCCTTTTCTTTTTTCGACTGCTTTTTGTCTTAAATTGAAGCTGAAATTTTAGCAGAATATGCTCTTTTGCATACTAGATCTAATCTACTTTATTTTATCTGCAATATGACGACTGAATTGAGATTAATGCTGTGTAGTCTTGTACTGATTGATTTCTGGTTTGTTATTAAACATTGTAATTCATTTGGGAAAAATAAAACCTTTGGGGCTCTGATAGTGATATAGAAACTTTTACAATTATATACACATAACACTAGGGGATACGGTTTAGCGGCACTGCAGCATACGCATGCGCAGCGGAAGAAAAGCTGCGGATCCGGAAACCTCGTGGTCATTCTGACGCTCTAAACTCCACTCCATTAGTGTGTGTATATTTCCTTTGACTCTGTAATATTAATACTGTCGTAATAAAGGGCAACGAGTCATATTACAGTATACAGCCAGGAAAGCCTTCTCTCACTGTGTACTTTCCCTGTACAGCCGTGTATAGAGAGTGTGAATCTGTATAGCCGCCCAGGAGGAGCAGAGAATCCGTACTTACTACTACACATGATGGAGTCGGACAGGCTCGCTTCTTACTATCGCCCTGCCGAAATACAGGGTTTACCAGGTGACCATCTTCTTCTTTTAACCACACCATGCACGCGGATATTATTTGTGCATTATAAAATAAAACTAAGTCTTTTTTGTGTCTTGTGCAAAAGGAGAGGCTCTTATGCTTCTCTCGCGAGAAAGATGAGAAGCAAAGCAAGGATTCTAGTCCCTCGGGAGAAGGCTGTAGGATTTTGCCTTTTGTTGCAAGCGATAAGCGCTCGTGACATCCCAAAATTGGCTGCCTTTGGCTTCATGGCGCCCTGGAAGAAAGACCCCGTGGCTTTAGCCTGCAGGAAAGAACCACTTGAGAAGCTTGTTGTTTGAGTCTAGTGCCTCCTTCCCCTAGTCTCTCTCACCCTCTTTCCTCGAGAAGGCGCTAATTGCCCATATTTTAGCCTCTGGGCTATATTTGCCTTCTCTGATCCCTAATGACAGAGCGCGTGGCAGCATCTGTTTTTAGTGGCTCTCTGTCCACGACGCTTAAGCCAACCAACACGCCTCCAGCAGTACTTAGCCCATTACAGATGGGCAGTATAGCTTTCAGTGTACAACTCTGAAAGCCTAATTACTCACTTGTTTATGCTATTGCCACCCAATACTGGCCAAGTACAGCAGTACTGGCACTACATTATGATGTCCTCCTTATATTATCCTTATGGGCCACCAAAGAAAACATTGCCAGCTATTTTATATACTCACCACACCAGCTTATAAGTGCTGTACATGTACATGTATGTATAACTGCTTATGCTCAATTTGTGTGCCATATAGGTCTATGCTTTGGGAAGGTTTTTTCAATTCGTATGAGCAAGAGAGAAGGGGAGAGAGAGGGAGGCCCCTAGCTTAAATAAAAGCTGTTGATCCGTTTGAGTTGTAGAGGTCAAATGTCTAAAATCTTAAACAATCAACAATATTGTCTGATGTGTGTATATGTTACTGTTTTAGTGATAGCCGTTTTGCTTTTCTTTACTTCACGTCACTTCCAAAGTCCTCAAAACTATTATTTTTAATCATCTCTCTCTCCCTTTCTTTCTCATTTTTGTGTCCTTATGCTGTCCGTCCACTTTACTTG